TTCTGGATTGAATCCTTATGTCCCAGGTTGGGACACGGCCAACCCAGAAGCCACCGGCTAATGCCGGGAGGGGAGGTTTAGGAGCCGATATCTCCGCCTAGGAGTATCGTATTGACAAGCGGTTGGTCTTGTTTTAGAGAGCAAAGAATTCTGCTTAATGCAATACTATGAAATTATTATAGACTAGCAGGCAAAGTAGAATAATGTTGTCGTGAAATAGCACTATTTTCCCGTTTTTCCGTTGTACACTCTAGGTATTATTAGCTCTTGATATTAATATAAGCATCAATCGGTTTCGAAATTTATCATTTCAACCAGGGTATTAAATAAATTTGTAGACGAAATCTGTATATACCGACTGTCGGATTGAAAACCATAGCTTTACCCGAGTTTAAATTAAGGCATGTTTTATCCACGTTTGAGCTGTGTTGCGTGGATAATTTAATCGCCGTAAAACAATGTTGAGTTAAATTATATGTAACACGGTTCATGGTAAAATGATTTTTTTCACCGCATTTACATTCTATCTAAAGCGGCTCCCGATTGCATAATGCATACCTTAATTAATTCGGTGAAATGATTTAATTTGATGTCATTAGATGATTTACACGTTACGACGCTCCAGTGATTGCAATCAGGTTCACTGCATAAATTTAGCTATATTTAGCAAATTTATTATATAGAAAAATTATATAGCATATTTTAAAAATTACAAATAATTTAAAGTAAAATTGTTAATTAATTCTATGATCGCCTATATGAATCTCTCATCTCCCTATCCGTGCGTGATTCTGTTCCATGGATTATACAGTAAGTACATCCGAGACACCGATATATCATTCACTAGGCACAACGACAGCAGCAGCAGCAATAATAATTAGGTTAATCAACCTTCGTGACAAGACGGAGCACCTTGATTGTGACTACAAGCAAAGAGAAGCTATAGATTACTGATTGCAGGTTGCTGCTTGTGAGCGTAGGTAGTAATGTAGGATCGACATAGTGGTTATATTGACCTTGTATAAGCCACCTACTGCTCATGTTTGTTATTGCCACACATTACTGTCACACACACACGCGCCTGTGAACGCATGCACACACTCGCGCATAGAGAGAGAAGAGGAGAGAGTTAAAGGGAGAAAGAGAAAGGAGGGGAGAAGGGAGAGAAAGCAAGAGAGGGAAAGACGGCGAAAAAGAGATAGATAGAGAGGGAGAAAGATATGGATAGATAAAAAGAGACAGCGAGAGAGCAAGAGAAAGAGAGAGAGAAGAGGAAGGGGGGGGGAAGAGCAGAGAGAGAGAGAGAGAGAGAGAGAGAGAGAAGAGAGAGTAGAGAGAGAAAGAGAATGAAAGAGCTAATGCAGCGAGTAAGTGAGTGAGAGCGCGAGAACGTGAAGACGGGGCGACGGGGAACTGGAGCAGGG